AGCCCTTTAGGGTTTAAGGTTTAGGGTCTAGGGTTCTTTTACTTGATTAAAACCAGAGCAGCTTCAAGTAAAGAAGTAAGTAGTTGACCACGGCTGGGGAAAGCAGTCGGGCCAAGGTGCGAGGGCCTATGGGCCCTGATAATGAGACTAGGGCTTTGGGTTTAGGGTTTAGGGTTTCCTTCTTATAAATGTATACTGTACCCCAAACCCTATATTAATCATCAAGGCCCTTATAATAAATCTGGAGGATTCATAAATCCCGTGAATCCCTGCTCCCGGAGCACCCGTAAGGGGTATGTCAGGACGGAATGAGTTTGGGCTTTCCCGCAAGTGAGATTTGATACGGATCGGATGCTTTCGGGCCGGGTCGGAACCAGTTTTTTTTTTAGTTCAGTTCGCTTGGACTTTTAAGCCTTTACTAGGGCTCTAGTTGCAGTAAAGTAGTAAGTTTTAAGCCTCTACTCAGCTTCGAAATTGCAACCAAGTATGAAGTTTTAGGGCTCTACTACGCCTCTAATTGCAGTAAAGTAGTAGTTAAGTTTTGAGCCTCTACTAAGCCTCTAAACGGATTGGGAGTTTGGAGATTTTGCGGGCTCAGGGGTTTCAGCTCGGGGGGTTCAGGTGCTCTCGCTCTGTCTCTCGCTCGCTCTCTCTCTCTGTCTCGTTCTGTCTCTCTGTCTGTCTGTCCGTCTCTCTCTCTCTCTCTCTCTCTCTGTCTCTCTCTCTCCACATACATATACATACGTATAGAGACACATACTTTTTTTATATGTACATTTACATACATATACATAGGCACATAGGCACACAGGCACACAGGCACACAGGCGCACAGGCACCCTAGACCCTAAATCCTTACCTTTAGGAGCCGATCAAGCTCGAGTAGGGTTGGCCACAGGGCCTCGTGGCAGCCCACAGCGAGAAACTTCTGACGATCAAGAAGCTCCAGGCGCATTGAAAGCCACCCTTTTAGGTTTAGGGTCTTGGGCCTCTAGGGTCGAGGGTTCCAGGGCTTCGGGTCTTAGAGTTTAGGCGTTTAGGGATTCAGGGACTCGTGCTGAAAGGATCAGGAGCTGGCTGGCTGTGCAACCTGCGCGGGGGAGTACAAATCGGCCGCCGGGTGTGTGGCTGGGGGTCGTCCTTGTTACGACTCCTTTCTGGGGATCCTTGCAACAAGTTGCCATGCGATTTAGAAGGGGAGCCTGACAATTACCCCAAAGGGAATCTTGTTATGAGCAACCGGCACTGAAGGTTCATAGAGTCTTACAGTGTAGCTTGCATGACGCTGCAGACTTCCGAAGTCATAACCCCACCACCAAGTTGCTTTTGGTTCAAGCAGAGCCAGTTGTAGCACAGGGAACCTGAAGCTATGTCTTCCGGACGGAGCGCAGAACCTTCTGGCGTGACGTCTCGGTCCAGTACCAGTGCCAGCAGCCAGGAAGATATCCGAGTCGTGAAGGTTCTGGAAAAGCTTCGACCCTTCAAGGACAAGGTGGAAATCCTGGTAGCCGGGGGATATGACTATGAGCGCTTTATCTTTACATCTCATGCCAAGAGGCTCGGCATCCATGATGCTATCGAGATTTCAGAGCGCAGACATTTCAAGATGGTGCTGTTCAACTCACAGAGATACAACCAGGACAGGTAATGCTTTATGAGCATTTGTTTACAGTTGTTTCTCAGGAACTGCTGTATTATGAACCACGGCTGTAAAAGACACGATGACCAGGACAAGCCCTTCATTGTCTTTCTCGGCTCTGAGTGGCTTGAGGAGTTTGAGAGGCTAGACCTCAGTGAGCGGCGCCTCTTTGTTGTGAACATGAGTGCGCACGAAAGCAGGCGGGAGGTTAATCTTAAATCTCAGAGGTTGAACCTTAGGTTTAGGGTTGAGGGATGTTTAGGGTGTTGGGGCCCCACCCCACCCCCATCCCCATCGTAATTTAGTATGACGAAAGATGACTTCGCCCTGCGTGGAGGTCCGATATCTACGATGCTCACATGCTGTCCTCCTGCCATGAAGAGGACACTTCTTGGCCAGCCCGAAAATCCCATGATAAACCAGATAACATATGAAGCCCTTATAGAGCCCTGACAGACCCCCAAAACCCGAAACCCTATCTGAGGACGTCGTGGCTCTGCTTTACCGGGCGCTTGATGAGTTCCATGCACCCTGTCCAACAGACGGCGAGGCACCAAAGGTGCCCACCTAACTGCACTGAGCAGTCTTGACTGAGTGTTTAGAGCACAAGAAATGATGTCCTAGGTATAGCTCTGCCTTAACCCTAAGAACTCTACACCCAGCAAGAGAAGCTCTTCGCCGTCTCCGTTCGAGAGCGGCGTGAAGTGCTCTTCTGAAGGGGAGCTTGAAGTAGCAGCTGTTTTTTTGGGGGAAACTCTGCGCAAGTCTTTGGACCTGGAGTGCCTGGAGGTTGCCCGAATGTCGCGACTGCCAGAACTCCAGCTCCCGGGTTCGGGGTGTATTGTAGGGGCCTAAATGATTACCTCTATTTTGGGAGTTCCTTTCTTTTTTAATATAGTATAAAGGGCCCCAAAACCCTGTTCTAGATATTAAGGCTCCTATAGTAGGGTCTCTCCTACAGAACCCCACAAGGGTCGCAGGACAGGCGGTGCCCTTGCGGCGCGGAGCTCCTGGCATGGTCTCACCCCTGAGAGCAAGCCCCGTAAGGTTTTCATCAAAATGCGTCAGTTTAGGGTTTAGGGTTTAGGGTTTAGGGTTGGGGGGTCGAATCGGGTTTAGGGTGTAGGGTTTAGGGTTTAGGGCTAGCATGTGCCAGGGTAGACCCTAGACCCACAAAGGAGATCTGAGCGTAGCTTTCTCATGTCGCAGCTCAGCAGCGTGCTTCGCGGTTCAGTCTCATGTGGTGGCAAGAGTCGATGCCTCAAGCCGTAATATAGCAGCCTAGATAATGACATATATTCCTTAGGGTTCCTTATTATAGATGCAATATAATGGGCCCCGAAACCCTGTTCGAATTATCGAGGCCCCTAAACCCTAAACCCTTATAGTAGCCCTTATAGAACCCTTTAAGGAACCCTTAAAGGGAACCCCCAAACCCTATTCATATTTAAGGCCCCGACATTATGCACCAAACTATGTCCCACAGTCGCGGGTCATTCCAGAACCATTGCTGGGCTCAAGGCCCTAGGGCTTGGTTTAGGGGTTTCCAGTCTGCGGTTGGGCTTTAGGGTTTAGGGTTCTGGTTTAGGGGTTTAGGGGTTTAGGGTTTAGGGTTTAGGGTTTAGGGTTAAGGGTTTAGGGTTTTGGTTTAGGGTTTAGGGGTTTCGGCGTTGATTCTTGGGCCAAGAGGTGATTTGCGGGGCAGTGAGCTCTCTGGGCTATCAGTCGTCTCATGAAGTGTGCTCAGCACGTCTTCACCATGTTCGATATCAATTCTCTGGATGCAGTTTCGGGATGGTGCCTCTAGTCGCCAAGTTACTGCAGAATAGCCCTGTCAGGCGCAGGCCCAATCTCTGCTTGTTCTTTCAGGCTTCCGAAAACGATGTCACTGCAAGCCGTTAGTACTGCAGCGGAATTCTGAACCTTCAACTGCACTACACCCTCAAAACTCCGCCTTTTCGGCGGCCGCTGCAGCTTCATGTAGGAGAGTTTAACGACCCCCGAGTCCGGCCAGTGTGACAGCCGTTTTACCGAGCAAAGGAGCCTCAGACGCAAGCAGGGGGTCGTCGGTTTCTTAGGCAATAAGGGCCCCTACCCTAGCGTCTTGGACCCTGAGCAGCCGGATCGTTATCGACCCCCTAGCTACGGCACGCGGAATCTCCGGAGAGGCACCTGGGAGGAATGTTCCATGCTCACAGTTTGCTTTGATGAAATCTGTGATGTGCGGGGCGCGAAAGAGTGGGCATGGGAAGCTTGGGCTTTCCCTTGGCATTCCCTACACTGGAGGACAGCTATTTACTTTAGTGTCCCACCCATAAGCATCACAAGAAAGATGTGCGTTAGCATATCACAAAAATGAGCATCATAGGGAGCAGAACTTGCAGCAGTGTCTGTACGCAACAAGCCTCAAAGGGTGCAAGCTTTGCTTCAGTGTCCCCCAAAAGAGCTGCACAGGGCGCGAGGCTTGTTTTAGAAACACTCAGAACCAGCATTGGTAGCAAAACCGCCTTTTGTGCCCGACCCAATAGGTCAATAGGCTTTACGGGGAGAAGGACTTGCCTTACATGTTGAAGCCAAACTGCTTCGTCCACTTAATAGGAGATTTGTTTGTTGTAATGTCTTCTATACTGATGCTGCTGCTGCTACTACTACTATACTACTGCTACTGCTACTACTACTACTACTACTACTACTACTACGCCTGCTCCTCCTCCTCCTCCTCCCCGTCCTTGTGCTGCTACTACTACTACTACTACTACGACAAGGACGACGACTATTGCTACCACTACTACTTCTACCACTGCTACAACAACGACTACTACGAATACGAATAGGAAGCACAACAATAATTATCATATTGATCATGATGTTCGTAAAGATCAAAACAATCAAAATGATGATGCTAATCATGGTGACAATAATCATGATGACAATAATCTTGATGGTCGTTAATGGTAGTAGTCGTACAAATAATACAAATACAGGAACCAAGCTTTGCAAGGTGTCCCACCCAGCAAGCCTCATAGGGTGCAAGACGTTTCCCATCCAATAAGTCCTCATTTGGGATCAAGATTTGTGAGTGTCGTGTCCAATAGCTCCATTAAGCGCTGGTAGCTCCCTAAAGAACACATCGCTCTTTTCGCTCTTTTCGGGCGTGGTGTGCGGACCAGTAGTCTGACGGTCGCCAGTGCGGACTCGCACGAGGAAGCGGGATTAAACTAGCGAAGGGAAAGGCTGTCCTGAAGTTGCGCAGGTTGCGCGGTGGCAAAGAGGACCAAAGGAACATATAAACACACCCAAACTGGACTTTTCGATGGGGACCTCAGAAGTGCAGGGTATTCCTCATGCGGATGAGGCCATGCCTACACAGTCTACATGCCCAAGATGCCGAAACACCTTCAACCACGTGATATGAGGACATCAAACACAGAAAGCCGACAAGCCACTACAGATCTCACCGGAAGATTCGGATTACACTATCACAGCCAGTGGGCTATACATCCTCGTCTTTGTCCCCCTGTTCACTGCTTCTAGTCCGACCCATCACCCTCCATCTCGCCGAAGCCTGTGATGTCGGCGTTGATGCCCGTGGAGTGGATCATGGACTCCCGCTCACGGTAGTAGCGGCCGCCTGCCTCATCTTGAAACATGAAGGCGAAGTTCTTGTCCCATGCATCGCCTTTTTTGTTCCTGCAGCTCGTGATGTCGGTGAAGATGCTTCTGGTCCAATTCGCACCCTCCCACAGCAAAATGACAACAGTCACATCCTGATACCCCGCCCTCCATCTTGCCGAAGCCCATGAGGTCAGCGTGGATGCCGTTGGTGTGGACAGCACACTGGTAGCGCGGGCCACCCTTACTGTCCTTCAGGTTCAAGGCAGCATCCTTCGAATGTTGGTGTGGCCGGCGGTCTGCTTCCGTTCCCAATCCTCGTAGCTAAGGCAAAGATTTCTTCTGACTCCAGTTGCGGAAGCTCATGATGCCGAGGCGAATGCCAGTGGCGAGCATCATGCGCACGCGCTGCTGATGATGATGATGATGATGATGATGATTATGATGGCCATTTGTTTCGTCATTGATGCACGCCTTGTCCCTGAATGGTCTGTGGTGCCCCCACTGCAAGCGTGATGAGCATCAGGCGGACCTTGCTCGTGACGTCCCCATTCGCAGAAGTAGCAGCAGTGTTCGGGAACGGGGGTCGCAGCTATCAGACGTGCTAGTGCACCATTCCAGCCGGACGCATCAAGAACACTTACGTAGATGTAAAGCCTTATAAGCTCCCTCTAAAATTAAGCCCTTGACGGAAACAAATCTTTCGCCCTAAGCCCTAAACCCTTGACCCAAAAAAGTCTTGAACCCTAAACCCTAAACCCTAAACCCTAAACCCTAAACCCTGCAGATTCCGACAGCGTCCCCGAGCCACGGGCCGCCGAGCCCTCTGGTGCATCGCCGGCGAAGGAAGGCAGCGTCCGCAACAGCCCGCAGCTGAGAACGCGAGGGGACGTCGAACGAACGTTGAAGTTTGGGTTTAGGGTAGTCTAGCGTTTAGGGTTTAGGGTTCTGTTGAAGTTTGGGTTTAGAGTCATATAGGCGGCTTAATAATCACCTATACGATTCGTTATATACCCCAAAGCCTTACTCCTATTATTAAGGCCCCTACACTAGTTTAGGGTTTGGGGTTTAGGATTTATAGGGTTGAGGGTCCAGGGATATAGGGTGTATGTAAGCTGAAGGGTTAGGGCTTGAATGCCAAGACCAAAGCGATGCAGGGGTGAAGCTCTGGGAACATGCTTTCACTTGACTGTCAGGTTGTCGGACTCGGTTCAGGTTCCGGCGACTTTTAACAAGCTTTAAAAGGTTCCTAGGTAGTATTAGGGAGACCCCTTATAGGGGACCCTTCTTAACCCTACTTGTAGCTCTCTTAAAAGGGACCTTATTGAGAGGGTCTATATCCCCAAGGGTCACTAAACCCTAAACCCCGACCCTTTAAAAGGTTCAGAGTCTCGTTGGTGCCGAGCTCGTTCTTTGCATCTTTGGGGTAGCTCTTCTGTTCCGCACCGCGAGCCCAAGCCTTGTGGGTTTTGGGCTTTTGAGTGTATGACGGGGTCCAGGTTGGTTCTTGGTTTAGAGGATTTAGGGTTGCTTTGATTTGGGCTTTTGGGTTTAGGGTTGAGGGTTCAGGGGTTTAGGGCTTTAGGGGGTTTAGAGGGTTGTTTTGATTTGGGCTCCGGGCCCAAGTTTAGAAAGAAGACCTGCAGGCGAGGCGCGCGAGCGCAGCCGCAGCTGCGATGCGCGCAGCCCCGCCGCGGATGTGCGCAGTCCCAGTCCGCGCAGCCATAGCCGGCCGCGAGGGCGAGATAGTCACGAGGCGCTGCTGGGTGAAGCATGCACTTAAGACATCTCTGCTGCTTCGGGGATTTGTCACGCATTTCTTGGCAGACACCCCAATCTTGGTTGTTTGATGGAGCTGCGACAAGAAACCTGAATACTTACCTATGGAACTCCATTGATGAAGCGTTCAGACTGTCAAGACAAGAAACCTGAATACTTACCTAGGGAACTCCATTGATTAAGATTCTAGTGATGCTCCTCTGGGCTTCCAGCCGCAAGTCGAGGTCCGGCGATCACCAGGCGGGCAGCCGCCGGCAACTGGGTCCTTGGAAGCTTACAACAAGTCCCTTACATCCCAAAGCCTTCACTATGAGATTTTACATCTTGAACTTAACCCTGTACTAGAACCTTGTAAAGCCTATGCTACCGTAGACTAGAGGGCACCTTGTAAACCCGAGCAAAAGGGCGCTGAAACCCTTGCGAAACTTTGTAAAGCCCTGATGAAGCTGAAGTACGAGCGCCAAGCCCAGGCAAGGCTGTCACCCCCACGGCGCTCTCCTAGAGCTTCTCCTAAGAGAGCCTCGCCACCCAGACGACGGTCGGCGCCCAAAAAGCTCTTTGCGGTTGTGGGTTGGATTTTCGCGGTTAGTTGAAGCATAAAAGGCTGCACTGAGTGTCAGGCTTTCGGTTGTTGTCCTGAAGCCTACACCCAAGACGCAAGATACGGAGAGCGTGGAGAAGGAGACTCGTTCAACACAGACACGCACAGACACAGACACACACACACACAACGATGATTGGCATTGTCATATATACTCGTTAAGAAACAAGAGTTTATCAAATGTACAGATATGTACATGAATAAGCCTCTCTCCGTCTCTATGTATATGTACATATACATATATAGATATATATGTCTGCATGTATGTATGTATGTATGCATGTATGTATGTATGTATGTATGTATGTATGTATGTATGTATGCATACATACATACATCCATACATATGCACAAACAGATGAACAAGCAAGTACAAAAACAAAGACACAACCAACCCAATACATTTGTAAGTGTACGCACACACACATCTATATATACCTATAAATAAGAAAAATTCGTTGAATGGCAGCTACACAGACAGACAGACAGACAGACA